AAAACACTTTAAATCCATCTGTTTTGAACAGAAGCGTGATTCAATGTGCAATACACTTGAATAGATAGTGAAAGATTTTCAACATTTCAAAGTTTGAAACACTATAAATTAACGTGTATAACACATTGAACCAAGGTGAAATACACTTCAAGTAAATGTGATTGTGCATTTAGAAAATCAAGTGTTTAAACACTTCGATCAAACGTGTGAAATTTTTTGAGACATAGGAAATTGGGTTGTTTAACTTCGAAAAATATACCGATTTTTATAAATCATCTGATAGAACTCCGTTTTCCGAGTACAACGATATTCTTATCGATCCCGTAAACATTCATCTCGATTTTTAAATCAAGATTTAAATTTTTGCGAGATTTTTGATCATTGGCACTAAATCTATTCGTTGACAGCTAGCTCCTATACAAAGTTCCACCAAGGGGCGGTAAGATTGTGATTTTTGCTAATGTAATCGTACTTATTTAAAATAGTTCCAGTGTACCAAAATTGATGAAATTTTGGATTTCGGTTCTATTTTTAATGCATTTATGCATTATTTACCTCAATACCCATAAACAACCCAATTCATCATACCTTAAAACATAATAATCGAGATGAATGTTTACGGGATCGATAAAAATATCGTTGTGCTCGGAAAACGAAGTTCTATCAGATCAAGAGCAAATTTTCATTATGTCGTAAGTAACATTCGCACCAATCCGAGAAAAATAAAGTTTTGTTTTGATGACCGAAAAGTTATTCCTATTTCCAAGTAAACACATATAATCTCATAGTGATAGCAATGTTTAACATAGGGTTTTAATCATACAAATGCAAATCGCTAACTTTCATGCTAAAAATACTGGTTTTTGATTTAAAAGTTATTATACGTCGTTTGGTGGCCCCTATTGTTACTTAAGTCAAAGTGTATTTACCAGGATATTCGGGAGAATTATCAATTACGTCTCCTTACGTGCAGCCCATTCATCATTTTAGGACCACCGAAATCATCTTAGCAACAAACAGTTCGATTTATTCACTTTAATAATGAGAAAGCGAAACGACGAACGTACACTTTTCACGGGTTTCTCAGCGCTGTTACTTAAGTCAAACGGCATCTCCATAGAAATTGGGTGACTTAAGTAACATCGAAAACTATTTTGATCGGAAGGTGATTACGTCAAAAATCAATTGGACTAGTAAATAAATTTAAAAGTGGGATTTGATCCTATATTCGGACAGTATATAGTGTAATAGCAAGAGAATCGATTGACACTGATAGCTCGACTTTGTTTACCTTTGTTACATTCGACGTAATGAAAATTTGCTCTTGAGATGATTTATAAAAATCGGTATTTTTTCGAAGTTAAACAACCCAATTCTCATCAAACCTACAACACATCCTTATCCATACAACCTTGGAATTGAGTAGGAACATGTCATTCCAATCAGATCGAGAATCAGACTGATGTGCATATTTCACTTTTCCAGTTGGATTTTAATACGAAATACTCATTTCAGTTCCAACATTTCATTAGGGTGAAAATGCTTTTGTAAACAATGACTTCAACCGCTGATTTCTTACAAAAGCTCACTTCTGAAAATTAACAATGCCAGCTGGTAGAGTAAATATTCTTCTACCTGATGGTGTCGTTAATTTGCATGAGTAAGCCATTTTCCATATCCATGAAAGAGTTCGCCATGTTCGCCCACTATTTTCTGCGCTTTGATCCTGCACATTTTCAGTAGATCCTGCTCAGAGTTGGTTGATTCCGGCTTGCCGAATGTTACTGATTTGCAAAACTTTACGAACCCCACCCCACGCGACGCTTTCGCCGACAACAGCGGACAATGGCTAACATCCACCACCTGCAGAACCAGTCGGATTCGACGTCCTCTTCGTCGACAAGGAATCTTTACATGGCCCAGCACCCTGATCTGGTTTCCTCCAAAGCTTTGAAGTCGAAGTGTTGTTGGTAATATCTCCAGATTATGGGTTCCACTTCACTTGTTCAACCATTCACGACCAATCAAGCTCGTATTGGCTCTGGTATCCAATTCACATTCGACAGTCATCCACCTATCGCCGAACTTTAGATCCAGCTCTGACAACACGCTGCCTCCTTTGTTGGAATTATCGAAGATTTTTCAAATTTTGCATTCATCATCGCTGTCTTCTGATGACGTTTCGTTACAAGTTGATGATCCTTCCTCGGATTCACTACTTCCGTCCTTGATTTCCTTCTCCTTCTTGAACTTTCTGGTTGACTCAAAATGATTGCTGCCATACGACGGCATCGCTTTCCAAAGTCCGGGAATGAGCCTTTTGTGAATTCGTGGGTGTCGCCACAGAACTTGCAGCGTTGAGCATGCTTCCGAGAACGAAACGCCAAAAACAAGTATCAAACTCACACGCAAACTTCTGACACCAGTTTACTTGAGCTTTATTCTCGAACGATCGGAACTCAGTAATCACACAGAGAACAGACATGGAGGCTCGAACAAAATTTCTCTGAAAACTTGTGTAAAGATTCCTATTCGACTTAAGCACCACTAACGGCGACTTCCCCACTTAAAAACCCTCTTTGACAACATGATGGCGCTGGCGTTGCACAAATTACACTAGACACTAAGTGCTAGTAGCGCCAAGTGGCAATTTTCAACAGAAAATTTATCGATACTAGCGCCAAATTGGTCGAAAGTGGAAATTATAGAGAGAAAATCAGGAGATGCTAACACCACGTAACGGTGACGTTCCCACTTATTTTACACAAGTTTCTGACCGAGCTTCAACGTCTGTTCTCTGTGGTAATCATTAATGACAAAATGGTGGAGTAAAGAGACATGATGGATGTGTAGTTTTTTTTTGTCTTTATTAGAGAATCCTGATGAATGTGGGCGTCTAAGTCGAATACTTGTATAAAGAGAGAGATAAGGATTAGTAATTTCCATTTAATTCCACTACCTTATTTGCTTATCCTTGACAGATACGCGTATTTCGTCTACAATGTGCAGACTTCTTCAGTGTCTTGTACTAATACTCGACTGAATACTGACCAAGAACAAGACACTGAAGAAGTCTGCACGTCTGCACATTGTAGACGAAATACACGTATCTGTCAAAGATAAGCAAATAAGGCAGTGGAATCAAATGGAAATTACTAATCCTTCTCTCTCTCTCTCTTTATTTATTAGAGAGATTTTTAGCCGTTGGCTAGTTCATCTCTAATGTGCAAATACTGCTACAGTCCTAAAGTCCGAATATGTACGAGGAATTTGTTCAGTGTATAACTGAAATGTTTCACATGTCACCGCGATGACATCTACCTTTTTCCGACCCAAATTTTAGTTTAGTTCACTCATAATCGCCAAAACTGCAGGAACTCAGCGATGAGTAAAATTTGTCCGAGCTTAAAACCTGGAGAAAATTTGATTTTCCGTACCAAAACATCACGATAAGTATGCCGAAGATTCTGTAGCAGCGGCATTTTTCACTTTGTATAAATGATCTAGATATTCAGTATAATTTTTAATATACAAATTAAATTGTAATCATTTTCGTAATCAAGAAATTGTTCTTTTAATTTCATTATTAACATGAATATTAATTTGAGAATTGAAATAAGCAAGAATCAAACAACAACAAAGCTCGCAACAAAGAACAACAAAACTACATTGGGGTAATAACCACGGTAATAACTACCTTTTATACATCATATGCATATTCTCTCTTTAAACTTCCCATGCACAAACCATTTCTATACTAATAGTACGTTCAGACTACAGAGTTATAACATGTTATAGCGCTATCTTGATGGTGGTTTCTGTGTTGCAATTATTTGACAACCGTTATAACATGTTATAACTCTCCAGTCTGGACAGCGTTTAATAGAGAATTTGTTTATTATTCAGTTCCAACCTGGATCGGGTATCGAGATTGGCTCTGCTTGTTTTCTGTCAAGCGTCAGTTTGGTCGTTTGATTTTAAAACCCACCACAGGTTGGAGTTTGCACTGACAAAATGTCGAGCAAAAAGTTCAGTTTCACACTTCTCCCTCTTCATACTGATTTAGCGTAACTTTTAATCTATTTAGATGTGAAATCTTTTGAGTGTGCAAGACGTCAATAAAATTCAGACACGTTGAAAAATTTCATTTCAAACTGTGTCATTCCCCTCGCAGGAAAATTATCCACTGATGGAGCAGCCCTGCTCGGAAGCTCTCTAACTGTTTTTAAAGCTTTCAGCTTTCAGTGCCCGAAATAGAAAGCAGTGCGGTCAAGTCTACGGATTTTTAGATTAGTGGATCTATAGGGACCCGATCACACCATTACAGATTTTCCAGGGATATTAGTTTTTTTTAAGTGCCGAGGAAATTCTACGGATTCTCAAAATGTTGGCTTATCCCCGCTTAACAAAAATCAGAACTATGTATTGACAGTTATTGACCTTGCTTTTGACAGTTTTTGAATTTTTTAACAGATTTAGCAAAGGGGAGACACATTTACCGTCCTTCATGAAAAGTTAGCAACACTGGTTCAAACGAAGCTTTCCGCCTGAAGGTTTGAGTCTTGAGATCAAATCAGTGCCAACATTTCAAATGGGCGTAATTGCATTTGTAAACAATGGCTTTAGTCGTCGATTTCTCGCGAATAAAAGCTCACTCATGAAAAATAATGACACCAGCAGGTAGAGGAATGTTTCCTCTATCAGCAAGCAATGTAATTTTGTAGAGGTAAGATTTCATTCGCGAGAAATTTACGGTTAAAGTCATTGTTTACAAAAGCAATTACGCCCCTTTGAAATGTTGGCACTGAAATATCGAGCCGAAAAAAGCTATGGAAATCTTTAAAATTAACGCAATAATTAAAAGTTCAGATAAATAAATAAAAATGCAAAAAAAAAATCATCAAGATTTTCTGAGCACTTTTGTTTTCAAATTTTTTCTTTGTATTGTTACCATCAATTACATAACAATGTAAGCATCTTCGCATAAATAAACAAATCATTATTCGTTAGCGTAATCTCTGAGTCGGAGTAATTTGTAGTAATAATAAAAATGCGACTTCTTTTCCGTGGCCTCAAACCGGTAGTCGGATGTGCTCAATTGTCAATTTGCCGTTCCCTGAATACGCGTCCGTCACCGATGGAGAAGCAGCTACAGATTGCCGGGCATAAAATCAACTTTGTCGAAGCCGGTTCCGGCGACAAGGGTGTAATCCTATTGCCGGGAGCGCTCGGCACTGCGTGGACGGATTTCAAGCCCCAGATCGAACATTTACCAACATTGCTGCCCAACCATAAGATAATCGCCTGGGATCCGCCCGGCTATGGTAAGTCGCGTCCGCCAGACAAGGACTTCGGAGTGGATTTCTACGAGAAGGACGCAGAAGCAGCTGCCAGCTTGATGGAAAAGATTGGTTTTCGGTCGTTCTCCGTCGTCGGGTGGAGCGACGGTGGGATTACGGGTTTGATTATGGCCGGACGGAAGCCCTCGCTGGTGGATAAACTGGTCATATGGGGATCGAATGCCTACATTACCCCGAAGGAGGCGGGCATGTTTGAAAGTGAGTAGAATATGAGATTATTTAAAATTAGTTGGATGGTTGATCCACTTGTTGCAACTTTAGATATCAGAGATGTTAGCAAATGGTCCGCAAGGATGCGAGAACCAATGGAGAAGGTCTACGGTACGGAAGGCTTTCCAAAGATTTGGTCCGCTTGGGTGGATGGAATGATCAACATGTACAAACAACGCAATGGGGACATTTGCAGGGAAGTCCTGGACAAGATCCGAGCTCCAACTTTCATTCTTCATGGAGCCAAGGACCCGATGATAGTGCCCGAGCATGTGCCTTATCTGCAGAATTCTATCGCCGATACCGAGTAAGTGGGATTTTCGAATTTTAACAAGATGTTTACTAATCAAGTTATCTTTTTTTTTAGTCTTCACGTATTTGTCGATGGTAAGCATAACATTCATTTGAAATATGCAGAAGAATTTAATAAGCTTGTAAGTGACTTTATCAAAAAGTGATTCAAAGTGAAAGTGCCATTTCATGTAAACTTTAAAGTTATTTATATTTTTAAATTAATATTTTTTACATACTCAGTTATTATAGCAGCATTATAACGATGAAATAAATGATTTACTGTTTTTTACTGATTCTTTAAATAAATAGGACAGTAGGACAGGACCCTTTGTCTTTTGAAGAATGATGCACTCGCCTGGTTTGGATGCATTTTTGAATATCTCGACCAACAATCGAAAAGGACCCATAAGCTTAGGTAATCAAAACTTTGTAAGCCCTTTATTCGCAAACTTAATACCGCCCACGCAAATCAATGGCATCTCCGTGTAGGGGGCAGTTTCCCCTATACCCAATGATGCTGTTGGTTTGCATGAGCGGCCTATGGATTGAGAGGAAAGGAATTTCAAAGTTTTGTTTAGAAAAGCTGATGGGTTCTTTTCAATTGTTGGTCGAGATATACAAAAATGCATCCAAACCAGGCGAGTGCCGATGTCAATCATACAGATTTTCACGTCCGGTTCTATTGGTGCGATATGTGAGAGCGTGTTAGTGAATATCCGAGGAAAATACATAACAAATCGATGTCAAACTAATTTTTCTACTTTTATGCATTTTTTAGGTTAGTCAGAGGAACATAATAAACAACTTTATACGGCATAGAGATTGCTGACGTTTATCGTACGCACACAAAGTCATGTATAGGTATACGCAAAATGTTTTCATCAGGAAAAAAAAACTTCATAGCGGAAATGTTTCCTGATGAAAACAAATCACTGACGCAATCACACTTTAGCAATCTCTATTGCTCCCGCTAGTGTGCGTGCATTAGACGTCACTAGTCTGGTACAACAGGCAGCTTGCTGGTGTTAGAAGCAAAAATGTGGTAAATTGCTGAACAAGCGAATGACGATGTCACGGCAGCACAACATTCCATTCCATACTGAGTACAGTAGTGTGCGCCGATTAGACGTCGAAAAGCTCTATGACAGACGTGCTGTTTCGTGTAAAAAGATAAACATTCCAACGAAATACGAACACCACTAAACATTTCCACATTTCAGAAATGCCAATAGGACTATTGGCATTTCTGAAATGTGGAAATGTTTAGTGGTGTTCGTATTTCGTTGGAATGTTTATCTAGAGGACTCTCCAGGCGGGTTCGTATTGGTGAGATTTGCGTGTGTTAGTGAGATGAAATTTTTTGTTAGCTGTGAGAAATTTTTTGTTTGCTGTAAGAACTGTCATTCTAAAATAAAAATAAACAACAAAACGAAAACAAACCCTACGCTTGCACGATAACAGTCAAATACCTTTTTATGAGTAAAATTTAATCCGTTTTTAATAAAAGTGGTTTTACTCATTAATGAGTACATTATTTTAACAACAATGAGTTTCTGCTAACAGTAGCAAATAGTTACTACTTAATTGACATAATAAAACAGCAAAAAAGGTTATCTTCCATTTAATTCCACTTAATTAATTTTGGTATCCATGACAGATACGTATTTCGACTACAATGTGCAGTCTTCATCAGTGTCATTCCCACTAAAGAACTTATCAAAATCTAACCCCCTTAAGTACTCATCCCCTAGGTAAAAAAGTCAAGATCATAGGTATAAAAATGAAACTACAATGTGTTGAATCGGAACCTACCTAACTAATAAAAACCAAAGATTTAAGTAAGCTAAAGGAGAAAAATCTATACAACTCTCTACACAGCAAAAAAAGTTGTTGAATATTACATCGAAACTGCTGCAACCAGGTCAATCCATCGGTTGTGTAATATCACATTGTACGATATACATCGATTTTGCGAACAAAATTACATCCATTGATGTAATATTGTATCTGCGTTTTGCTATTACATCATTATTTCATACATCAGCTTGAATTACGTTGATCGATATTACATTTTTTTTTTGCTGTGTAATAAGGAAACCTACCTTTTCATTTTTATACCTATGATCTTGACTTTTTTACCTAGGGGATGAGTACTTAAGGGGGTTAGATTTTGATAAGTTCTTTAGTGGGAATGACACTGATGAAGACTGCACATTGTAGTCGAAATACGTATCTGTCATGGATACCAAAATTAATTAAGTGGAATTAAATGGAAGATAAACCTTTTTTGCTGTTTTATTTAGCATTCCGCTAACAACCCAATTTCATTACTTCATTATGATGGCTACCAAGCCTTTGGGGATTTTCCTTATTAGAGAGTTGTATAGATTTTTCTCCTTTAGCTTACTTAAATCTTTGGTTTTTATTAGTTAGGTAGGTTCCGATTCAACACATTGTAGTTTCATTTTTATACCTATGATCTTGACTTTTTTACCTAGGGGATGAGTACTTAAGGGGGTTAGATTTTGATAAGTTCTTTAGTGGGAATGACACTGATGAAGACTGCACATTGTAGTCGAAATACGTATCTGTCATGGATACCAAAATTAATTAAGTGGAATTAAATGGAAGATAACCTTTTTTGCTGTTTTATTTAGCATTCCGCTAACAACCCAATTTCATTACTTCATGACATAATAAATTATTGATTAATTAGTAGTGCCACTTTTATTGACAATGGGTTCACTTTAAATCATAAATGGATGTTTTATTCTTACCGTGCACATGACAGTATACGCTAGTGTGTGTAAAATTATATTATTAGTGTAGTGTTCGTGAGATCCTGCTTGGAGAACTCAATAAGCGGGTTGGACCCGATGTCAATTATACAAGGTCTGGCCCAACCGGCTTATTGGTATTAGTGAAATGTGGAAATGTTTAGTGGTGTTCGTATTTCATCGCAATGTTTATCTTTTTACACGAAACAGCTGTTTTCTGTGACGACACGTCTGCCATTCGCAGTATGGAATCCCGCATAAACGCGAACCATAAATTTACCTTACCTAAAATGGTTAAAAATTGTTTATAATCCCTGCTAAACTTTAACTGAAATGGTTATGGAACTTTACATGAACGTTTAATGATAAAGTTTCAACCTTATGTATTATGGTTTTTTTGAACTGGACCTTACAAATAATGGGTTGTTAAGAACCATTACCATAGTGGATTATTTTAACTTTTGGTTAAAATTTGACAGATGGAAAGTTATCGATTAACCCTGCTATCCGAGCATGGCTATTTCTGACAGACAAGAAGTTAAATTTTGACAACCGTGGCTCGAAAACCGGTCGATCGACAGCACGGGGATTTTCGAACATAGAAAATAACTTTCGAAATGTCACTTTTAACCACGAGTTAAATTTAACTCGGCAAATGGTTCACAGCCTTAAAATCGTTAGGCTGTGTTCCATTTGGCGAATTTTCACTTAAACTTGACAGATGGAAAATTTCCAAATAAACCTGCTATTCCAGCAGACTTATATCTGACAGACAAGGAATCAATTTTGACACACACCTTCTCGAAAATTGACCGATCAACAACAGAGGGATTTTCGAACATTATAATTTAGTTTCGAAGTGTCAAGTTTAAGTGAAAATTCGCCAAATGGAACACAGCCTTAGTTTCGTATTGATTGTTGGTATAAATCTTGATTTAAAAATCGATCCGAAAGTGACATTTCGAAAGTTATTTTCTATGTTCGAAAATCCCTGCACGGCGAATGAGAACGACTCAAATTTGAGTTTAGTTCACTCATAATCGCCAAAAGTGCAGTAACTCAGCGATGAGTAAAATTTGTCTTATGGTTTCCTGTGGAAAACCCAAAAAATCTGCCGGAAAATGAGGAAATTGACGAAAATTTTATTCAGTCTCGGAGTAGTACCATAGAGGTAACTCTAAGACCACTGGGTCCCGAAGAAAATCATTATTATTTTTGGCTCACTCAGTACCAGAACAACGGTCCTCCGGAAAAACCTGAGAAAACATGAGCCAAATTAACTCATCGCTGAGTTCCTGCACTTTTGGCGATTATGAGTGAACTAAACTCAAATTTGAGTTGTTCTCATTCGCCGTGTGTGCTGTCGATGGACCGGTTTTCGAGAAGAACTTAGCCAAGGTTGTCAAAATTTAACTTCTTGTCTGTCAGAAGTAACCACGCTCGGATAGCAGGGTTAATCGATAACTTTCCATTTGTCAAATTTTAACCAAAAGTTAAAATAATCCACCAAATGGTTCAGAGCCTTAATCAAAGCTACGAATAATCAAAGCTAAGGCTGTGTTCCATTTGAAAAATTTTCACTTAGATTTGACACGTGGAAACCACGTAGAAGCTCTCTATACAGACTTCAGCAAGGCATTTGACCGCATAGACATACCAATGCTACTTTTTAAATTGCAAAAAATTGGAATTAAGTCAGGGCTCCTGAAATGGCTTGAATCATATTTAACTAACCGCCAACAAATAAATAAATTCAACGGAAAGAAATCGAGTCCAATTCAAGTTACTTCAGGCGTCCCCCAAGGCTCTCATTTGGGACCTCTTCTTTTTATTCTATACGTAAACGACATTTCTTTCATTCTCAAAAAACCTAAATTGCTTATTTATGCCGACGACATAAAGCTCTTTTTGGAAATAAGAAATGAAGAAGACATCAATATATTCCGGAATGAAATACACATATTCTACATATGGTGCAAAAAAAGTCTACTAGAATTGAATGTAAAAACATGTAACTTAATATCATTTAGCAGGAAAAGAACAACTTCAAATATTTTAATTGCACTAGGAAAACAAAATGTAGAAAAATGTGAAAGAGTTAGGGATTTAGGAATTATCTTAGACTCTAAACTAACTTTCTTAGACCATTACAACACAATTATTCACAGGGCAAATAACATGCTAGGCTTTATCAAGCGCTTTTGCTATAACTTTCAGGACCCATACACAGTTAAAAATGGTTAAAACACCATAAATCGCCTATGTGAGGTCAATACTGGAATATTGCAGCATTGTATGGTCTCCTTTTTCAATCACGCACGAAGAAAGATTAGAATCCGTACAAAAACAATTTCTATTATACGCTCTTCGTAAATTAGGTTGGACATCATTTCCTCTTCCATCATATGAAGCACGCTGCATGCTTATAAACATACAAACATTAAAAGAGCGTCGTGAATATGCAATGGTTTCATTTGTAAACGATATCGTTTCGCAACGCATTGACTCCACAGAACTTTTATCAAAATTAAATTTCCATGCACCTACTCGGCAACTCCGAAATCTAAATTTATTTGCCATAAAACATCATCGCACAAATTATGCAAAATATGGGCCATTAAACCGCATGATGGCCTCTTACAATCAATACTGCGATACCATTGACTTTACAATGTCTCGGCATAAACTAAAACAATATTTTTACTCCATAAGGCATTATAAAAAAGCTGACACTGCTTGATTTTTATTAAAGAAAAAATTATACTTTTAACCTTTTGTCCAAAGTTGACGAAATAAATAAATAAATTTAAGAAAACAAAACAATGTACTAGTCTACGTTGGTTGACGAAATAAATAAATAAATAAACTTCGAAAATAAATAAAGATGTTCGAAAATCCCTCTTACTTAATCGGCCGATTTTCGAGAAAGCGTCTGTCAAAATTGATTTCTTGATTGTCAGAAATAAGTCTACTCGAATAGCAGGTTTATTTGAAAATTTTCCATCTGTCTAATTTAAGTAAAAATTCATCAAATGGAACACAGCCTAATAAAATAAAGATTAAATTTTAATCTATTTTAGATTAGTAATATTTTTGAGTGTAAAGTTGCATGTGCATGCATTTGGGTAATTTTTTTATTTCTGGTGCATGGACCCTTTGAATTTGCACCCGAAAGTGTTGTCAAAATTGAATGCATCAGGGCAACTGTCAGTCATGCAATAATTGCAGCGGCAGGATAAGCGAACCGAAGAAGAAGCCAATTTCGTGTAAATGCGCTTCGTTTGAATCAATCGAAAATAGTCGAATTAACAATTAAAAGTGTCCTACTAAATAGTTGAAATTCTCTGCTTCATTCGTGGTCCATCTAGTAAGGAAAAGGTGTCGTTCGTATCCCGGAACAAGCGGATCGAAAATTTGCAGGCACATACAAAAAAAAAGTGCTCTGAATCACCACTCTGATTGGTAGAATGTTCCCGAGCAGCGATAATCTTGCGGGTCTGGTGGCCGGAATACTGCTTCTGCTGTTGACCTTTGGAGTCCGGAACAGCAGCCAGCAGAACGACGCGAACGACTACATGAAGCGAGAGCATTCGCTGTTCAAACCGTACCAGGGTGAGTAAATACTGTCGATCCGGTTACGACGAGTGAAAGTTGTCAGCCGATGTCAGCTCAGCTGGTTTGTCTGGTTTTCGATTTTGGCTGTTGTTGTTGTAGGTTCGGGAATGACCATTCCGTACTGGGACTTTATTGGGTCAACGTTCGTCACGAATAGCTACATCCGGCTGACGCCGGATCTGCAGTCCAAGAGTGGAGCCATCTGGAATCAAATGGTAAGTTGGTACGATAAAAGAGATAATGATGATAGTTTGTTGACTTAAGCTCGAGAGGAAGACACGTCATATTAGTGTGATGTGTAAAAATAAGTCAATGCAGCTCGGGTTTATCGATTAAGTGATTAATGGTATGGTTTATTTGCTTGGTTTTAGCCTTGTACCTCCATCAACTGGGAAGTGCATGTAAACTTCAAGGTTCACGGTAAGGGCAAGGATCTGTTCGGGGACGGTTTCGTCATTTGGTATGCCAAGGATCGTCTGCAGACGGGGCCGGTGTTTGGCAGCCGGGACGCTTTTCTAGGACTAGGGATCATCCTGGATACGTACAGTAATCATAATGGACCACACAATGTAGGCGATTCCTATTGCGATCCGTTTTTAAATGATCGGGAATGACGTTGCATTTTGTCTGAATTTCAGCATCAACATCCGTATATCAGTGCGATGGTGAACAACGGCAGTCTCTCGTACGATCACGATCGAGATGGTACTCACACACAGTTGGCAGGCTGCGAGGCCAAGTTCCGCAACGTGGATTACGATACGCTAATAAGCATCAGATATGAAAATGATGTTCTTACTGGTATGGCCGTCATAAATAGGTGCTTATTTTCAATTTATACAAAGCCACATTTAATTTGCAGTGTCCACTGACCTTGAGAACAAGAATACGTGGAAGCAGTGCTTCCAGGTGACTGGAGTAAAACTTCCTACCGGTTATCACTTTGGCCTTTCGGCAACGACCGGCGACCTTTCGGATAACCACGATCTGTTGGCCATCAAATTCTACGAACTGGAAGCACCAGCCTTGCTGGCGGAAGATCGTAGCCGCATCATCCCATCGGCGGAAACATTCGAAGCCCCACGGGAGCACAAGGAAGACCTGAAACAGGGCAGTATGTCGAATGTGAAAATCTTCTTCCTCATCCTGCTGGCCATGCTGATCGTCGTGGTGCTGGTCGTAATCGGCATCATGTTCTATCAGAAGCATCAGGAAAATTCCCGGAAACGGTTCTATTGAGGAACAGCACAACAACAGGGCACACAGCGTCATCACGGTGGAAACAGCTTTAAAATACCAAAATTTCATTTGTTTTCTGGGCAGCCACTGGCGGTGGGGAGCGAGCTAGAGTTTCATTTTCTTGGTCAGGATTTATTTCTGTTGTGGAGATGGCATAACATTTAGCTACATAATATTAATAGTAGTGATAAAAGCGAGTGCATTTTTTTAACTAGACAAACTTCAGTTGAAACGACAAGCATAAAAGAGAGACATGATTACAAGTGACAGTCTGTTGTAAATCTTCAATCCTAGATAAAGAAAAAAAAGTAACTGCTATAATATGATTCGATGTTTGCACTTTCGTTTCAAGAGAGAGAAAGAGAGATGGAAACTGCAGACACTACTCTATATAGAAAAATGTAAGACGAACCTAGTCTGAGTGTGCAAATCGAACGAACGAGTGAATGTGGAACTCTGTCTGTAGGGAATATTTAAAACTAATACTGTAACATACACGCAAACGATTCAGTTTGTTTCGCACCGGTGATTTAGGTTCTAGAAAAAAAATCTATCTGATGTTTTCCTTTCCTTTTGTGATAATAAATGTGGAAACGACAAAATCACATTGATCACTGGACAATTCTTTCAAAATCGTTGTATCCAACTAAAACGTGTCAGGAATTAATATACATAGGTAATTAAGTGCGAATATCAATATTCATCTCGAGATCTAAACAATATTCTTGGTTCGATGCTGGAAAATGTAGAACTACAAACACACACACACCACAAAACTGCAGATATTGAATTCGAATACATACATTAACAAGTCGATTATTTAGGTGAAGAGAAGGGGTTTTCAACTTTCGCTTTGGCGAAAATGGTTTGAATTAATAATAATCTGAACCTTACACGGGATGTTTTTTATTCGACTAGAATCGATCCTTGAAAAACCCCCCGGCGAGGTGTTTGCAGAATGTTGAAACTCGGGCGGCGATTCAGCTCGAAAATCCAGGTCTTTCATTGAAGAACGACAAACAATGGACGGCCATCAGGAATTCCTTTGCCGAAACAAGTAAGAACAACCTCAGCGCACTTAGAGGAAAGAGTAGATCACGGATGGAACCTGGCTAAAGATTGAGCTCTCGGCTCTAGATAAGGAAGTAATTACCCCAAGTAACATTCCTGGCTTTATGTTGGTCTAACTACAAGTCCATTCTAGTACCTCTTTAAACCCATTATGAAACCAAAATTGTCACTTGGGGAGCTCTTACAGCCAAGCGATCAAAATGTAGACATCCTGACTGACGAAGGAGATAAAGCAAGGATGCCTGTGAAAGTGAATGTAACTTTACGAGGAAGGATACATTTAGAGTCTGAAATTTAAACGTTTGAAAAAGAAGCATCTGCGGCAAAGTTGTTGCTTACAGATAGGCCCTCATTTTGATGTTACGTTAGTGAATACAAGGGTGGTCCTTATTTTCAATTAAATAAAAAATCTAACTTCCTTATTGGCAGAAATAGATGCACACATTCATGGGCAAAGTTCTAGCTTATTCAAATTCAAGCCAGAAGCAATCGTTTAAATCCATCTCAGTAGTCCTGCTTATTTGACTTTTAATTTTTCTGTTCTATTATCAAACTGTCCTTCAAATAAACCACACGTTAATTGGAAGAGCTCTGCTTTCACTCATAAAAGGTTATGGGCACCTCTACGAGAGAAGCTGTGTGCGGTATTCCGCAGTTCAAGGGTGCTTCCGGATTTCAGCACTGGAGCTTAAGAGTCAAGATGTTCCTGGATTCCGTGGGAGTATAGAACCCTTTAACTGAAGAAGCACCGGCAGTAGCAGCTGAAAAGGTGAAATTTGAAGAGGCAGACCGGAAGGCCAAGTCATATATTGTCAGCTTCCTGGCGAATGAATGTCTGGCGATCGTCTGCGAGAAGAAGACGGCCAAGGACATGTGGAAGGCGCTCGAGAACACCTTTGCGAAGCGGTCAATTAGCACTCAAAACCTGGTGAGAAAGCAGTTGAATCGTCTGAAGTTGAGAGATGGTGATTCGATGAGAGCGCACTTGCTGGTGTTCGAAGACTTGATCCGGCAGCTGAAAACCGCTGGGGCGAAGGTCGAGGATGCTGATTTGGTCATTTCGCTGTTTCAGACTCTACCGGATGCGTATGACCCCTTGGTAACGGCCTTGGAAAACATTCCTGAGGAAGAGTTGAGTTTGGAGATCGTGAAGCAACGCTTATTGGCGGAAAAGCTGAAGAGAACCGAACGTCACGAAGACTCAGGTGAGATCAAGGCTGCGGTATTTTCTGAACAGAAGAAACGCGGGAAGTCGTTCGTGATCCAATGGAACCGCCACCTGAAGAGAGGCCGATGTCACGTGAGAATACTCCGATTGCTGATGATGCAGACGTTTTGGAGGCGGATGATACCGGAGCACTCCCTTCGCAACTAGAACAAATCGAGTCCGAAGGACAAGCGATGTTGAGGCGCAGCGAACGGGAGCGCAAGCTCCCCGGTAAGTTGTTAAATTTCTTCACCGGTTACAGAGCAACTTCTGCTGGCTCGTATTCCACAGATGCTCCTCAATGCTACAGTGACATCGAAGCCCGCTGCGATCGTATGAAACGGCTGGAGGCTGTTGATGACGAATTGCGATCCATGGAGGCGAACGGTGTGTGGAAGATGACGCCCTGTCCACGTGGCGTGAAACCTCTCAAATCCAAGTGGATATTCCGTGTGAAGGAAGACGAAGATGGCCAGGCCGCTCAATATAAAGCCCGACTAGTAGCGAAGGGCTACCTGCAGCGTTATGGAGTTGACTTCGAGGATACATATGCACCGGTGGCGAAGTTACCAACAATCCGGACTGTGCTAGCTGTAGGCGTCCACAACCAGTTCCATTTCCATCAGATGGACGTTAAAACTGCCTTCTTGCATGGAGATTTGAAGGAGGATATCTATATGGATATTCCTGAAGGCGTCCAGGCTCCAGCAAATATGAACTGCAAGTTGCTGAAATCATTGTATGGATTGAAGTAATCTCCACGATGCTGGAATGAAAAATTCAACAGTGAACTAGTCAAGATGGGTTTCAAGCGGTCCCGCCATGACTACTGCCTATACACATGCGATGCGAAGAAGGAGACGAGCTGTACGTTGTACTCTATGTGGACGATTTGCTAATCGCAGGGAGGAAATTGGAATCCATCGCACGTATGAAGGAGAAGCTTTCGACTGTGTTCAGCATGACTGACTGTGGAGAAGCACGCCACTTTCTGGGAATGAAGATAGCGTACGATCGGCAAACAGGAGTTCTTCAACTTTCGCAAGAGGCGCACGTGGCAAGAGTCTTGGAGCGTTTTGGACTGGCTGAATGCAATCCAGCTAAGTCACCAATGGAGAAGGGACTGCAATTTCAACGAGAGGGGACGCCAACTGAAGAACCCTACAGGGAGCTACTAGGCAGTTTAATGTATATTATGCTGTGCGTTCGGCCGGACATCTGTTTTTCAGTAGGGTATCTGGGGCGCTACCAGCAAAAACACACTGGCGAGTCGTTCGTTACCTGAAGGGAAGTGCCAATGCTGTATTGAAGTTCGAACGCAATGACGACCGTCCGCTCGTTGGATTTGCTGATGCTGACTGGGCGGCCGACAATGAAGATCGAAAATCAGTCACGGGATACGTCTTTAAGGTGTTTGGATCAACGGTGCAGCAAGAAGCAAACTACAGTTGCTATTTCGTCAAGTGAATCAGAGTATGTAGCTCTGAGCGCCGCTACTGCAGAATCCCTGTGGTTATCTGGAGTACTTGAAGATATGAAGGCCAAGGATCCGAAAACACCTGTCACCATATTCGAGGACAACAGAGGCTGTATTGGAATGGCGAATAACTTGGAGACGAAACGAAGCAAACACATTGATGTTAAACACCATTTCATCAGGGATCATATTGCCGAAGGACGCATCCAAGTGGAATCTATTGGTACTCGCGAACCATTAGCTGACATATTCACCAAACCATTGGACTCTGGACGCTTTCAAGAACTACGGATGAGTCTAGGGCTACACGATTGAGATGGGATGATATCGAAGAAACCTGGAAGCCAGAAACAATCGTTTAAATCCATCTCATTAGTCCTGCTTATTTAACTTTTCATTTTTCTGTTCTATTATCAAACTGTCCTTTAAATAAACCACACGTTAATTGGAAGAGCTCTGCTTTCACTCATAAAAGTTAATCATCGATCGAGTTTCCACTTGATGCTAAAAATAGCTTGATACAGGAACGTTTTACCAATAGAGAGTCGTATTGATAATTGACTAGTACAGAAACTTGAGTGAATTTACCTTCGTTGTTTCAGTGTGATTTATCAGCCTTTTCTTCCCCGGCCAGCCGGACGTAGTCTTCCAGGTAAGCGGGGATTTTCTTTTCCCTGGACGGTCTCTGTTGAGTTTCTTCCTGGTCCTTGTCAGTTTCCCGGCCTAACGCTGTCCGTCGTTGCTCGTAAGCAGGGTTGCGACCTATCACAATCACGATCGTCAAACAGCTGATGGTAGTAACGCTTAGCACATTCCTATCAATGTGCTTGACGAAGCACTCTCCATGACCATCCATCAAGTTGAGGAAAGAAGTAAAGAGCAACTGGTGAATATCGTCTTCGGTGTTGACCCATCACCGATCTGGTCATTTCCGACACTCATTTGTACTCGTTTTGAAGCAGTTGCTGCTTTGCTTGCTTATGTGAGTGGCTTGGTGAGTGAGCTCAACAGCTTTCGTTTAATTTTGCCAGCTTTGTTTGTAACTCAGACAGTCGCGCCTGCTGAGACGAACTCGGAATGCGTAGGCATTGTTTTCATTTTCTTCTGTCGTTTCCCTTTTCTCATCAGCGTGCTGCAGAAGTCTTCATTGTTTTCGCTATGCTTTACATCATCAGCAGCGAGTGTTACGTTCATCTTTGCTCTCACTGCTTGACAAAACGTTCTGTCAGCGATAGTCGGTTGATGCGTTAACGAGTGTCGAGTGAGTGTCATGATATTTTGCATCTCTGCTCGTAAGTAGGAGGTTCCCTTTCCTTTGCTCCGTAATGGTATATCTTGCCGAGTCGAACCGGCTATCACCCTTCCAACGTGCTTGACTTGACGCTCGCTGTGTCTCCTGGTATGAATTTGCTCTCTTTGTTACATCTGTGCGGATTTGCTAGCGCTAGTGTACTAGCACTGTACAAAACAGTAGCCAGCATAATGTAAACAGGGCATCAGTGTCTACCAGCATTACATTTCAGGAGCAACTGAAATTCGTTCTAGTTGGTTGAGCTGGTGAGCTAGTGAACTAGCATAAGTGTAAACATCTCATTGGCTTAGCTTTTTGATCTTTTGCATTAATAATCATGGTGTGTCTTTCCCGGGTTGATGAGGGGCAACTCTCGTCTTATTTTCCGCCCGTACATTATTTCCTCCGGAGAAACCTTGGTGATTGAGTGGGAGCCCTGACGGCTGATTGGAGCTCGTTTTCGTAGTTGTTACCAAGAGATGCGGCGATTACCATTGCTTTGTTGATCATTTTCATGCAGTTTTCTACCAGACCATTCTGTTGCAGGAATCGGGAGGTAGCAAATATGGTCTTTATTCCACGCTTGGAGCAATATTGGCTGAATTCCTCACCAATGAAGGGTGGACCATTGTCAGTTTTAACGGTTGTTGGAAATCCTTCTTTGCGAAAGATGTTTTCTAGCACATTACGAGTGCTTTCAAAGCTGGTCGTCTTCACCGCACGAGCGATGATGAACCTAGATTGGTACTCTACTATGACTAGCACATGCATTCCTCCGAACCTGGCGTATGACCTATTGTAATCCAAAGCTATTGCTTCCCAAATTGTTTTGGGAGCCAGTATGCGCTCCATTGGTGTGACCCACTCCGGCAGGATTTCACCAATCTTCGACGTCCTTGGGCATCCCCGACCACCAAACACGCTCTCGAAGAATACTCTCAAGCTTCGCTGTCATCGGGTGTCCCTTGTAAGCTATTTCTAGAGCTTTCAGTTGCAGCATTTTTGGGATCACCACACATCCTTGTTTAACAAGAATACCATTCTTGATAAAGAGATAATCTCTATCTCCGGATTCTAGTACTACCATCACCTGTGACAGTGTAGGGTCCTCTGAAGTCGCTTGTCTAACGTCCTCTTCTGTCAGAAACCTAACTTCATTAGCTTCTATTTTCGCAATCTTCTAAGGGCTTTCCGCATCGTTGAATGCTTCGTCTTCACCAGAATAGAGCCGGGATGAGGGATCAGCTATATTGAATTTACCTTACACGTACTCTACCTACTGAGTCTTAGCGCCCAGCCAACGGCTCGAGTGACGGCCCTTTTCGAAGATTCTCGGGTTGCGATTTAGTGTGAATGAAACCCCCTTTGCATCTGCTCGGCGAGTGAACTGCCGTCCAAGTAGTATGAAACATATTCTACTGCCCAAACGGCACTCAATACCTCCCGTTGATTTTGGGCGTATCGTTTCTCTGTAGCGGTCAACGCTTTAGATGCAAAGCTAATGACGCGTGGTTTTCCGTTTATGTTTTTCTTGAACTAGTACAGCTCCTAGAGCGTTTGGGGATGCATCTGTATAAAGGATAGTTTTGACCGTTTCTGAAAAGTAACCCAGGGTGACTGTGCTATTAACTACGCTTTGGTTGGTAGCCTCAGATGCGGTGGACTGGTATGGTCGAAGCCGTTGGCTACCGAGGGGAACCAAAACGGTTTAAACCGGATACAAGGAGCGAAGTGGCAGATAGCCCACCACAAAACGGAAGGGCTATTGATCTGTAACTGCAAAGGAGAAAATGTTTTCGACGTAGGACTACGTCTGTGATTTCTATATGGGGGTACACTTTGTGAAAACCGAAAATGGAACATGTAACAAAATTATGAAAGATTTAGAACATTACTAACTCAGCTGCCCCTGGACCAATTTCAATCATTTTATCACCAATCGATCAGAAATATTTCTACGCATCAATAGCATTGCTTCCGACTGATGATTTTCAACAAGAAACTATTGAAAAAGTGGTAATGTCAATCATTGTCCAATGTACAAAATTTTATCACTGTTTTCATGCAATAAACGTTCTTCCCAAGCCCAGTCGTCAAAATCGAGTACCACTTGGTTGCACATGATTCTACTTTAAACTGAAAAAAAAAAATATGAAAGAGCGCAGCTGTCTAGCCTCAACTCATTTTCACTTCGAACGGCGTGGAGAGCAGGCAGCAGAAGCATCAATAGCTGCAGTAGGAAGGTGGTGGCAGGTTAGGTAGTCCCACTATTCTACCCTACAAGCAACAATGACAGGTCGTGACAAAGGAGGAAAAGGTCATGGTAAAGAAGGCGCCAAGCGTCATCGCAAGGTTCTTCGTGATAACCGCCATCCGTCGTCTGGTTCGCCGTGGTGGTGTCAAACGTATCTCCGATCTGATCTACGAGAAAACACGAGGTGTGCTGAAGGTGTTCCTGGAAAATGTGATCCGTGATGCTGTAGCCTACTCTGAACACGCCAAGCGTAAGCGGCCATGGATGTCATCTACGCTTTGAAGCGACAGACGCACTCTGTACGGTTTCGGAGGTTTATGGGGTGTTTACATCTGTGCGGATTTGCTAGCGCTAGTGTACTAGCTAACTCGCACGAATTTCAGTTGCTCCTGAAATCTCATGCTGGTTGACGCTGATGCTCTGTTTACATTATGCTTTTGAGCTTTTTTGCTAGCAGATAGCTCATTAGCGCTAGTGAAATAGCATTTTTGTAAACACCCCATAAGTCATCACCAACTTTGAAAATAGCGGCCCTTTTCAGGGCCAACAAGCTTATTACAGTAAAGAGTTGGAATAGAATTTATCTGTGCCTGTTTGTCCATATTTAGAACCACACACCCTCAACAACCACACAAAATGCTCTCCAGAATTGTATCTTATAACCAAACATGGAAGCAGGGGTGCAAATGATTTTGATCGATTCTCTTCATCAACTTTCTCTTAGAAAAAAAAAATACTACAAATTTGGTACGCCTACAATTCAAAAACAGAAAGAGTTAAGATAATGGATGATCGATCACTTAAAAGAACTAAATGCTCTTCACAGTTGTTCCGTTCACTAGCGGTCCTACGTCAAGCTTCCGTTCGTGCGCCCCTAGACACAGACCCTTCTACTTTTTTTTTTCAATATTAAAACGATGAAATGCTCGTTAAACCAAGCCTTAAATTTTGGAAAAAAAAATCCCTTCCCGCGTGCTCCTCAGATTTATTGTCCTGCCCTTGTATCTTTAGTAAGATGAGCGGAGCGACGGTCGCGTCTAGAATAAGTTTCTAAAAGAAGATTCTAAATGAAGCTTCCAGAATAAACTTCTCAAGAAGATTTTAAGAGAAGCTTCTCAAAAAGATTCTAAAAGAAGCTTCTTTTGGAAACTCATTCTAGTCACTTGCCCGTCGCTCCGCCCCTCTGATTAAAAATCACGGGCCGGACAGTAAATCTGAGTAGCTGCGCAATAAAAGAGCATTTTTCCAAGATTTAAGGAGCATTTCATTCACGGCGAATGAGAACAACCCAAATTTGAGTTTAGTTCACTCATAATCGCCAAAAGTGCAGGAACTCAGCGATGAGTAAAATTTGTCTCGCCGTGTTGATTTGATGTACGTTTCTATAGCTGCCTCTTTTAGTGAGCGTTAATTAGGCTGCCTTTTCCCTATGATTTGACATCAGAAATACCCTCGGAAATACCTATATAGGTTGTGAGCTGCTATCGAATGGCCAGGATGTAGATGCCATGACATAATAGTGCTGAGTACTATACGCAAAAAAAAACAATATAAGCCAAACTAAGCCAATGACCTGAGCGACTTACGCAGTCAATACATTTGTATGATGCGTAGCTTTTAAGTGGATAGTAGACCGCAGTCCAGGCCGCAGTCAGAAAACCGCAATGCACGCTGATTACAATAAACAGTCAACACATTCACGGAGAAGCATTTCAAATGATAAGCGCTTTCAAACAGGATGCCGATCGATGATCTAATCGGCATTAAGGTGCACCTCAGTTAGTGTTACACAGACAATTTTAGATTTGCTCCCTCATGGCACCGTAAATTTGATTGGATTATAATAAATATAATTAACATGCTCATGCTTCCAGTTCAAAAGCAAAGCACCCTTAAACCACAACGTTATCTGTTATCTGTTATGGTTTGTAAATAGTACATAATATTATACTGCGAACGTTGCGTGATAAAAGCTAAATCAAATGACAAATTCGACTCATTTCGTTGAAAGCATTGGCACACAGCTCACTGCGCTTTTGTTTATCCGTCTATTTTCGTTTGAATAGCAATTTTCCAATCTAGTGCTCATACAGAAGAGAGTGCATCAGTACATACGTGACATATCGCCCCATCAGAGTGTTATCAGTATCGCCGTGGCGAGAAGCTGTCAAGTGCGCATCCTCCGTGTTTGCTCCAGCTGTGCTTTTTCGTCTGTTTATCAAAATCCAATAAGATATTGAGTGTCCGTACAAACAAACTATCATGAGTAGCATCGGCACTGGTCAGTCCTATGCGGAACCGCAAGATTCCATTCGGTCTCACGTTAGCGATAGGAGCAAAGCTGATTCGGGTTCGGTGACGGTGAAAACAATGGACGGGTCGCATTATTCGGAAGCCCAGGCCGTAACCCTCACGGTGGACGGGTTCGGGACGGTCAAGGATCCCTTGAGCGGTGAGGTCCAACCGGTGAAACGATTCACCTGGACGAACGACAGTGGTATGTCGGTGCAGGTGATATCGTATGGGGCGATTATCACTTCGATTAAGGTTCCCGGCAAGGATGGCTCGATTGAGGACGTTGTGTTGGGATTCGATGACATTCCTGGATATCAGGGAGCGAACAATCCTTATTTTGGAGCTACCGTGGGACGAGTGGCGAATCGTATCGGTGGTGGTCGGTTCACGATCGACGGGGTTGTCTACGAGGTTACAAAGAACTACGAGGGACGCCATCAGCTGCACGGTGGCAAGATCGGTTTCGACAAGTTCAACTGGACGACGCATGTGGACGGGACGGTAGTCACGTTGAGTCACACGAACATGGACGGACACGAAGGATACCCGGGAACAGTTCTGGCATCGGTGACCTACGAACTGAAGAACGACAATCGATTCGTCTTTAAGTACCAGGCAGTGTCTAGCAAACCGACACCGATCAATCTGACGAACCATTCCTACTTCAATCTGGCTGGCCATGTAAGATAATCCTGAGTATGAAATCAAGAATTTTAAAACAATCGTCTTATCTTCTAGAGCACCGGTCACGAGGAAGTCTACCGTCACATCATTTCAATGAACGCCGATCGGATTACGGAAACGGACGCGGACTCTATCCCGACTGGCAAGTTCCTCTGTGTCGGTGGGACATCGTACGATCTGCGTATCCCTCGGGAGCTTGGACCGGCCATGTCCCGCACCCCAGGCGAGGGATACGATAACAACTTCTGCATCACCAAGGGCACTGAGCAGAGTATGACCTTTACCGCCCGGGTCGTTCACCCTCACTCCGGACGAGTGCTGGAGGTTTACACCGATCAACCGGGCGTTCAGCTGTACACCAGTAACTTTATGCCCGATCCGAATCGCAATGTAAGTAGTGATCCAACAAACGTCATGGTTGTCGAACTATTTCAATATTACATTTTCAGATCCGCGCGAAACCGGTCAATGCTGCGGAATACTACGAAGTAACCCATCTGGAACCGGTAGTGCCTTCGATGGCCACCGAACAACCGATCCGCGGTAAGGGTGGAGCCAAGTACTTCAAACATGGCGCATTCTGTTTGGAGACGCAAAATTTCCCGGACGCAGTGAATCATGCCAACTTTCCCAACTCGGTGCTAGTTCCCGGTGAAACCTACACGCACGAGGTGGTTTACAAGTTTGGATTGCACGATGGCAATTGAACTGATGGTGTGAGAAGGTTGTGAAATATAACGGCTTAGGAATTAATCAACGTCTAGTTAGATACACATTAGGGAAATTATTCAAATTTGTATGGATTTATATTTGATTGAAATGAATAAATTCAACGTAATACTATTTTATAATTAAGTCCTGATAGGTATTTGCATATCAAACAAATTTTGCCTGTGCAAATACCTTAACTTTAGTAATTTTGCAACACGAGAAAAGGGCCCAACAATGATTCTCTTCATCGATTTTCTCTTTCGAGAATAACCCGACTGCAAATGAATTTCCCATTGAGTATGTTGTTTCAGGCGTTGTCGATCTGTTTTGATTAGTTTTTCATATATATGCGGTGTATTTGTTTAGGATAGGTTTCCAATCAAAGTATACCCAAATATGAACCACCTCCAATGTAACATATTGAATGTATAGCATCGTTTGCTTATTTACTGAATTGCCATAAAATGGTATATTTGAATTTCGATGTCTCTTTTCCAATGCAATTTCAAATATATCTCAACACTAGGTTACTAGGTTTTTAAATTTCATTCTTCGAATGAAATGGAAGATGGCTTTAGGGCAAAAATTAACATTCTAGAAATTGATAGAAATGTCAAATGTCATTAGAAATCGACATTGGCCATTTCCTCTAAAAAAAAACGAGGTGTTTAATAGCATTTAGGATTCTCCTCGTCGACTTATAGTTCATAGCGGCTGGTGAGCAGACGTACGATAGAAGAACTCTCCTTTGAATAAGTGATCTCCCTTTTAGTTTCAATTAAGTTAAATTTCCGTTGAAGAAAAGCCAAGAAGGCACTATTTTCCTGCTCCGTGTAGTTTATTGAAAATAAGAAAGCGATCGTCCAAAGCTTTACATACAGGCTTGATTCCTGTCACGACACCACACGTACACGTGTTGACCGTCATCGCTCGTATGCTCGTTTCGGCCCGCCGTGATCACTAGTAAAACGGAGTGCTAGTTTACTATTATCTGAAGGTATAACGTCCGAGTGCTTGGGGTCCTTGTGGGAAGGTTCCATTTCGTCCCGCAGTGATCGAGTAGCGGCTGCTCGCGAGGGTTACTCGGCGGGGCATGTTGGCCTTCTTGCGGGATTTCTGGGTTTCTCTGGACGGCCTGCAAACCTCAAAACCGGAAGCTTCCGTCCAGCCGCGCCACCTCCGCACCTTTAGTTCGACCCTCCTTTGTTGCATACGAGCCAACGCATAAGCTACTGCATTTAGACAGTCTCTCTTAGCGCATTCGACGGACGGTTACAAAGCTAACATCATCTTAAAAGTTAAAAGTGCTGCGAGCTTAGCGAGAAATTCGTTTATGTTCCCGTCGTAAACCAAAGAGAAAGTCGATGAAGAGAATCGATCAACGAGAATAGGAATATATCGTAGGAACGAATTTCAGATATTATTTCGTGATTTTCACCTCTTATATTCCCCCTTATTCTGCGCCGCGAATGAAGTGAAGTGACTCGCTGTCACTAGTGAGGTGACAAAAGTCACCGCGAGTGAGATGACTCTCCGAGCAAATCAAATTGGCGTTGACCGGCACCGTTGAAAAATGGTCTCTTCTACCAAAAAATGACAGTATCTTACGGGAATTTTCTGTGGAGATAGTACAAAAGCCGCCATGCTTCACGCACAGTCTGACGTTTCCTTACGCGATTTTCCATAGGTGTAAAGCGCTACAGAGTCGCCGTCAGCGCCAATGGAAAGTCACCTCACTCGCGGTGACTGTTGTCACCTCACTAGTGACAGCGAGTCACCTCACCTCACTCTCGCGACGCGGAATAGACCTCTATATCAAGATCATAATTTGGTAGGACAGAGATATTTTCATCTACCCGTGTAATGAATAAAATCATCTTGTCCACTTGAAGTCAACGGTACTCAGAGCAAATAGTTTCGCAGCGAGTGAATTTGAGCAACTCATAATTACTCAAAACTAATGAAAGAAACCTTCAATGAAAAATTTATGCAGACGTCATCCACCCACCCAAGATTTTTATTTGAGTTGAAAGCATGTATTTTTACGATTGACGATATCCCATATGCCAAAATCGCTTACCCAACCAGGGAATCACTTCGGATGGATTGTTCGTTGACAGTCGTTCGAATGTGACACACATCTCATCGATAATAGACCTTTGAACACCTGGAACTTGACGTCATCGCTCAAACAGGTTTGGATTCTCCTCGGTGACTGCTGTTGTTGTAGCACATGGTCGTAGTTCTTCTGAGCAGTTCGTAACGCCATTACTTCCAACTGGAGCGAAGGCAAATCTTTGTGTTGATAAAGATAGCTCATAGATTTATCACACCGAGGACATGCTCAGCTTGTACCCGGAGGTATTCGTATGCTGACAGGAAGGGACAATCGTAGCCATCATGACATCATGACGTTTCTGTTCCTCCTGGATATGAGCTTCATGACGACGGTCCATGTGCTTTGCTGTTGTCATCACCCATTTCTTTCTCGTAATTTGTTTATTTGGTTCTACATCAACAGACTGGGTTAAGTCCTAATGATAGATTAAGCAATACTAGGAAATACAATATAGTCAATAAGTAACAAGCTGCAAAGGCCGTGATGTCCAACTTAATTCCTAATTCTTAAAAAATATATCACGGAATCTCTGACGCAGCGTCTCGCGTGCCAAGTGAAAATCAAATAAGGAAGCAACACGATTGAAAATCATTTGTAGTCCATTGATATCACCATACGAACTATACAGTTTGTACGACGAAAAGGTATCCTCAGCATTGGGTTGTTACGGAATGCTCGTGGTTGAACGTTAACGTCGATTTGTTGTAGAATAGAAGGACAATCGGTTCTGCCCTGTAGGGGTCTAAAATTGAAAAAAATATTGCTACGTTATTTATGAATGGTCCCCAATAGATCATAGAAATAGCCAATGGCATTCTTTTTCTGTGTACATACTTGAAATTTCAAACATTGTTATTTTTAGGTGCGCACGATAAGGAACAAAACTGCGCAGAATTGGGAACTGGCATAAGCAGAATTAGGCGCCCCGCATCGATGAACAACATTGTTTTATTTTCACACATTTTTTGGTTTCGCTTCAAGTGTAGTTTTTTTTCTGCTATTTTTGATAGTATCACAACTCACAACATTGTACTGATATTATTAATTTAAATGCTAATTCAAAAAGCCCAGTCTGTCTTTGGCTGCAGAGAATACACGGTAACCGCAAAATACCCAATAATGACTACAAAGTAAGCATTTTCGAGGGAAACTGGGACTACCCATTAAATGAGTAAAATTTTACCCATTTATGAGTAATTACAACCACAAAAACAAGTAGTAAGTATTCATTTTTGAGTAACAAATACTCATAAATGGGTAATAGTTTTACTCATTTAATGGGTAGTCCCAGTCGCCCTCGAAAATGCTTACTTTGTAGTCATTATTGGGTATTTTGCGGTTACCGTGTATGGTACCTTCACGGTACAAGGCTATTATATGATATAGAGCATGAGCATGATTGGCCGCCCGTGGTTGCTACCAGAGAAATGCCAGTAGGTTTTAGACTCCACATGTCTTCACCGCAAGGTGAGGAACAATAGTTATCAATGTTTCTAGGCGCTGGATGATATAATATAATATGGAATAGAGCACAACAATCATGGCTACTATGCGAGGGGGACGACTCTATCTACGATGCAGGAAAGATTGAAACATGCGTGCACGCTGAGTAGTTAGAAAGAAGACTGAAGATGATTCTGAAGATTTCCTGCAAAAAGATGATGCGCGATGCAAGTAGATGCGAGAAATAAAAGAAGATTTTTCGAAGATTGATTCGTTAGTTGGAGATTTCTTAAGCAAGCATCTAAACTTGAGATTTAGATGTGTCGCCGCCCTCGCTACTATGTCACATTGCACAATATAGTGTTGCCCACAAAGCAGTTGTTTTTTTTTGCCCCGTAATGTGGGTAGATCACCTTTTCGTGGTACGTTACGGGATGTAAGATCTACCACCGATTCCTAGTCCTGACTACTTCAAAGTAGAGGAATAGGATTTTTCAGTAATCCAAGGAACACATCTTAGTCCTTGTTACTTTTTATGCCTTGTTGATAGTGACAAGACTCGGCTTTGTCTACCGAGGATGATCTTGAAAGAAGGAAAAAATGAGTTAGTTGTCTTCATCTATGTGATTCCTAATCTTCTATTCGTTGTTCCCTAGTTTGAAGTGGTTAAGACTAGGGTTCTGATGCATGGTCATTATCGGTGTCATACCTTAATTTTGTTGCTAAGGAATCCAATTTTGATTGACAAAGGGGCGCGCCTTTGGAGGGTGTTTCAACATTCCGAAGGGTATAAATAGCGGGACCTTTCAATTAGAGTCGGATCCTTGCGATAAATGCAAGAGTGACAACTGTAAAAAAATCGAATACTTCATCATTTCTCAATAGTGATGGAGTAATACGACATGCACTAAACTAAGGACACGGGATATACTACAATAGATCAATTTACTGGTCGCAGTAGTGTTAGGTCCCGAACAGAGGAAAAAAAAAGCAGTTGTTTGATGATAAGATCACCGACAAACCGACATGAAACTTAAACTTAGCTCTTGATCGAGAATCCATAACGGCCGATTCAAATGTGCAGCGATCCCATCTGTCAAAACCATAGAAATGTTTTATCTAGATAAAAATAATTTGTCCGAAATAGATTAGACACGAACCAATTCATAAATGTTGTACGCATGTTCATGGCTAGGATAAACATTTTCCGCGAACACGGCGGCAGATGTCAGTTTTGTGTTTTGAGCAGAAATTCCTTTGTAATTTGTATGATCATTCATGTCGGTTTGTCGGTGATAAGATTACCAATCTCTTATAATTAATAACTATTTCATTTGTCGTTTGAATTAAAAACGATCTTTAGAAAAGTTGCAGCTTACAAAATTTAGTACAAGAAGAGCTACCGGAAGAAAAGGGGTATAAGGTAATGAACAAACATATTGGATTTCCTATAGTAATTTCCATACAACCTTCAAATGGTTTGAGCACAGCCAGTT